TCCAATGTATATTACGCAGGGCCTGCTGTGCGAGTCAACTGTCTTTAGTGTTCTCGATTTAAGGCATGATGTTCGTCTATCCTAAGCCCTTTCAGGTCAGCTCTGACTCTGTCCATCCATCTCATCTTTGGTCCTCCCCGTGGTCTTTTATCAGCGACCTCTAGAGACATGGCCATTCTTGTGATGTGATTTTAATCTCTTCTACTCACATGCTCGTACCATCGCGGTCGTTTTTCCTGCATTTTCTTAACGATGGAAGCAACCTTCATCCTTGCACGAACTGTGTCATTACGGACATGATCTAGCAGGGTGATACCCAATGTCCACCGAAACATTCTTGTCTCCATGACCCTAAACTTGTGTTCTTCTTTTCGCGTAGCCAACAATCGCTGCCATACAGCGCTGCGGGACGGATCACAGCACGATTCGGGATTTGAGTTGCACTGGCATTCGCTTGTCGCATAGAACTCCTGTGAATTTTCTCCATCTCATCCAGGATGCGCTTGTCCTGGCAGATATTTCAACTTGAAGACCTCCTTCGCCAGAGATGCAACTTCCTAAATACTCGAAGGTACTCGCTTTCTTGATTGGCTTCTCATCGATGACATGGTTTCTGAAGTTTGACCTCCCACTTCCATATATTCTGTCTTTTTTGTGTTGAGCTTTAAGCCATACGACCCTAATTGGTCCTTCCATCTCTGTGTTTCTTCTTCGAGTTTCCTGTTTTCTGCCATCAACACCACATCGTGTGCATACAGGAGAGGCCATGGAGGCTGTCGCTTGAGACCTTCCGTCACTGCATCCATGACTGTGATGAAGAGTAGAGAAGAGAGCACCGATCCCTGATGCACGCCGGTCCTTATGCAGAATGGTTTTGACTGTCCTGCCGCGGTTGGCACATGGTTCATGACTCCGTGATAGATCATTTTTATCTATTGGATGTATACTTTTGGAACCATGTGCTTTCGCAGTGCCCACCAATGACATCATGGGGTACTGTCGAAAGCTTTCTCCATATCAAGAAAAGCCGCATGCAGCTCTCTTCGTTTCTCTATACTCCTCCATCACTATCCATACACTATCTATGGCGTCAGCAGTATCGGCACCCTTTACAAATCCGCACTGATTATCATGACAACTATGATCGCTCTATGATCGCTCGAACGTTTTCAAGTACTCTTTCGAAGATCTTCAGGGTGTGACTCATCAGCCGGATTGGCCAATACGTTGAATAATCTGCGATATAGCCTTTATTTTTCCATATCGGAATCGTTGTGCTCTTTGACCAATCATGGGGCATGCTCTCAGCTTTGATGACCTGATTGAATAGGCCTGTAAGCCATGAGGCACCGAGCCATCCGCATTCTTTCCAGAATTCGCTTGGTATGTTATCTCGACCAGAAGCCTTGCCGTTCTTTGTCCTTGCGAAAGCAAGCCATACTTCCTCTGCTGTTCTGAGCAGTACTGGTCCTTTCACTGGGTCAGCTGGTGGGATGGT